TACAATAGCAATTACAAGTTCTAAATTGATACAATCTATATAGAAGCAAACTGTATTCGTCGTGATTGGCTCAAGGAGAAAGATACTCTTTGATGTTAATCAGAAAAGCAAATAATGAAACAAACAAAAACTAAAAATCTGTACCAAAATCAGAAGAGCAAAATAAAGTACTAAAAATAATCTATACCAGTTGGTAGCTGGGAGACTATATCAGTGTTAGTGTAAACAATAATATGGGGTGCAAATTTTGGCTGTTGTTTCACAAACAAATTAATTCCCTGCAATTAACAATATTAAATACATGTTAATACAGTTGAATACATTGCATATTTCATAGTAAATCAATTTTAAATACATATCAATACGACTACAAACACTTACAGAAGACTAAATACATATTAAAAAACTAGATACCACACATATGACATAAAAAATAAGAAGTTCAATACATATGAATACATACGAATACATTTGAAAACTTACTGGAAATTTGAACACTTGCAAACAAAAATAACTAAAGCTGAATACACATGAATACTTATGAATACAAGTAAAACTTATTGGAAAATTGAACATGTGGAAACTATCAAAATACATAAGAATACATATACATACTTAAAAAAACAGAATACAGTATACCAAATAGTACAAAAATACAACCAGATACATACGAATACAACATCATACATGTAAAAAAGATTGAATAATTATGAATACATATAAGTTTCTTTGACTGCATATTGATAGAAATAGCAAATACCTTTTGGTGTCATGTGTCTGATGTTTTTTTGGCAGCAACTTCCTTTACATTGACACATGAAGAATCATTCATAGGTTTTTTCCTCTTTGAATAAACTGATTTTTTGTTTCTTTTGGAGATTTCTCAACTTGGACTTCTTTCGACTTGTCATTGTGTAATTTAGTTCTTCTCTCCGCTTGAGATATTTGCAAGGAGAAAGAGGGCCCATCAAAATTGAGAATTTTGGTGGGTATACCTCTGGATATGATGTTGTGTGGCGTTGAATCCGCCATTGATGGGTATACCAAAGCTTCCTGGTGAGAAAACAATACCAATGGTTATTATTTAAGAGATTTATGAAAAATAAGTATAAAAATTAAAGAAACAAAATATTGGTATCAAAAACGAAGAACAAAACTTACCAAGCGTATGTTTTTCGGCAAACACAAGTGATTTCGGATAGATTATGGCTGTAGGATTGATAATGGCGGGGAAATAGTGAATTTAGGTTGGAGAATAATTAAGAAACGTGGGTATGTGGGAGAAGAGAGTAAAGTGTATGTAAAAGAGAGAGAGAAAACGTGTTTAGAGGAGTTATACGGTGATTATGTGAGAGAAAATACAAAAAAGGAGAGAGAAATATGTTATTTAGCATATATGGTGCCTTAAATGTATGATATAACTATAATAAGATATTTTGCTATAAAGGATAAAAGATATTAATAGGATGTAATATTTTAAAATGGTATTTATTATTGGTAAATAGGGTACTAAGGTTTATAAGGTGTAAAATTTCCTTGATTTTACAAACCATTAATTGGTCTAATCAAGCCACAAGCCCTCAGTCTCAAAAGGCCTCCAGAAACATAAGACCTTGTAAGGAATTAAAAAGCTTTCCTGGAGAAAATAACAAAGATAAAAAGAATTAACTTTTTGTAATGTCCTAAGCTCTCATTCTTAGAGCTAACAAATACTCACAATCGTAAATATTTGACATGGGTATGAAGAAAAAAAAGAGCTTTTTCGTGCAAGTTTAACAACTCTCCACAGGCTAATTGATTAGGTTGTGATTTTACAGAGATATAGCAAAGAAAAAAATTGGAGGAATGCACAAAATAACTACATATCATACCCTTTTGAATTCCATTTTGGAACAGTTATTTCCAGGGACATTGTTATTTATAATTTTAATATTTACTAAGATTGCTTGTAATCAGTGCCAGACAACACAACCTATACACCGAAAGAAATAAAAATGAATACATTTTCCGGGCAGTAATAGATTTTGATCTATAACCAGTTGAACCAACCGTATTCAAAAATAGTAGTAAAAAGTGGTTGCAACGGCAACCCAAAACAGTAATAGAAGACCTTTCAGTGGTGTCAAAATCAACACAGTACACTCAGCTGAATTATCTTTTTAAATGCTAAATCTTGTTCGTAGCAAAGTATTCTCGGACAATTATGATGCCAAATGATTAAGGTAATATATCCGGGAAAAGATTAAACCATTTAACATACTACAAAAGTAAAACAATGACATTCATCCATTTAAATTCACCTCCTTGTAACAGTTAGTTGTACGTGAATTGATTATCTTTTGTGTAAGTGTTGATAATCCTATGTTTCTAAGATTACTGGTCTCCTAATTCAATAACACTGAAAAATAATATGGTTGAGTGAAAAACATAAGCAAGATGTCAGAGTAACTATAAAAGAACGTGTCAAGATGTAAAATATTTTAACATATGTATTTTTTTCTAATTTATCTCTTTCCAAGGAGGACATTATTCGTTAACTCAGTAGACAAATACAACATTACCTATTTATCAAAATCACTACTGTAAGCTTGCCCTTAATTTCAAAAATTCAGTTAATTGAAATATAGCATCTTCAACACAGTGCTAGGGAGTACATTCCCAAGAAAACAATATAGAGAGTGTTTGGATCGGCTTATTTTAAGTGATTATTGGCTTTTAAGCACTTTCTTAGTTTGTGTGTTGTTTGACAATGATAAAAAGTGCTTAAAAACACTTATTTTTAAGCATAAAAAGTTAAAAATAAACCAAAAGCCAAAAGTTAGATATTATCAACTTATAGCTTTTAGCTTAAAAATTACTTTTTATAAGTCAATATGAACCCTTCAATTCACAAAAAACTATAGCAATTCCCCGTCATCGCACACGTCAGCTAAATTACACCATGACGTCATATTACCAAAAACCACTTGTTGGATATCAAAGGAGAAATAGTATGCAACACTGTACACATACATGATAACATTGGGCGAAATGCCTGAATGAAAAAAATCAGCACACAATGCTTTTTAGCCTTCTCATATTGCATTATATTATGGGTCTTTATAAGAAACTTCAAGATTACCCAACAAAACAAAAATTAAAATTGAAAACTCAGAAGAATGCATAAAACATTTTTTTTATTCTTACCGGAGGTTGCTGTTGGATATTAGCAATCGGTATGACCTTTTCCTCAAAAGGAACAAACAGAAGAGAGCATGTTGGAGCTGTGTCTCTTGCCGTGTATGCAATAAGCATTAGCTCGATTTTGTTTGGCCCTTAAAATCCTGAATTAGTTTTGTCTACGTTCATGCGTATGTAAAAGTGAAATATTTTTTTGGATAGGTGTTACTCAGAAAGAAGCACATCTACAATACCATGTCCTTAGAGTAGTAGCCGGTGGGTATGGAGGATTAATTTCAATTGTTGTACTGAACTGCCTTTATTCACATATTCAGTTCGAATTTGATTGTTTGATATTTGGAAAGGGTAAAATATGATATGTACTTTACCTGAGGATGATTTCGGTCTTCTAATTTTTCTAGCAAGAATGACTGGGTATTCATTATGCTATCCCACTAGTTTATTCCCATCATGATCAATAAAAGCTTCCCAAAATATGAATTCTGTTGGTTTTTCCTATATAAAATAAAAGGAAGATGTACAATTCATATATTAAATCCGCACGTAATACTGGAGAAGTACAAATGACAATAAATTTAAAATTGAAGCGCTACATATCTGACTTCTTTATAAAAAGAAGAAGCAATATTTAGCTTTTTATTAATTTTCATCAATTTTCAAAAAATGGAGATTTGTTGGCTCCAAACTATTGTGCAGGGATTGTTGGGCAGTGGAGAAAAGTTATAACTATATCATAGTTGAATCATTAGCGAAAATACCCAGAGGTATGTATTCAGTGATTCTCTATGATGATAAATTCTAGAATTTTCCTTTCATTTGAAGCATATGTTGTCGGGCTACTGTTAATCACAATGCCAAGGACATTTTTAACTACAAAAATAAGGGTGAGTAAGTTAATAAATAATGAAAGTCATTGTATTATGATAAAAAATAAATTTTAGATGCAGAAACAACATAGACAGCTAAACTGCGATGACTCAAAAGGTTTTGGATTCTGTGTCTCCGAGGTCTTGAAAACCTCATTTAGAATCGCCTCGATTTGCGTGCACAGTCCGGGCACGTAGACGGAAAGCTTAAATATGAAAATCTGTAAAAAATGATAAATTTTGACAATAAAATGAGTTAATTTGTTCGGTCAACGTTTTGGGTAAACGGACACGGATCCGTGATTGACGGTCCGTAGGAAAATATGGGACTTGGGCGTATGTCCGGAATCGAATTCCGAGGTCCCATGCCCGAGAAATGAATTTGAAAGAAAATTATTTTCTGAAATTGTTTAAGGAAACTTGAAATGAAATCTGATTAGAACATGATGGTATCGCGCCCCTATTTTGGTTCCGGTGTCCGGTACAGGTTTTATATATGATTTAAGACATTTCTGTAAAATTTGGTGAAAAACGGACGTCGTTTGACGTGACTCAGACCTAAATTGTTAAAGTTAATGCTTTATGAAGTTTGAGAAAAATCTTTTGGTTTTGAGGTTTAATTCGTTGTTATTGAGGTTATTTTGGTGATTTGATCGCACGAATAAGTTCGTAGAATGTTTTTGAGGTTGTGTGTATATTTAGTGTGGAGTAGTGAGTTTGGATAGGCCACGGAGCGCATTTTGAACTTAGAAATTGCAGGTCTTATTGCTGGTGTTCCAGACTTGCAGGCTTCGCATTTGTGAAGCCTGTCTCGCAAATGCGACCTCGCAAATGCGAGCCTTGTATCGCAAATGTGAGAGGTGGTCTGGGCAGCCTTCTTCGCAACGATTTGCGTGCGCAGTCCGGGCGCGTAGCTGAAAAGCTTAAATATGAAAATCTGTGCAAAATGATAACTTTTGACTATAAAATAAAGTTTTCTATGCCTCGGAGACACAAAATTCAGTTAAACACAAGTGATGACCTCTTGGGTCATCATATAACCTTCAATTATCAAATTTGGATCCCTTGAGTTGATACTTGAAACTGTCAAATGGTGCAAGAGTTAGTCCCGTCGACGACCATATTGATCGTTTTTATTGGCTCAGCGAACGTGCTCCTATCAATTGTCCAAGTGAATTTCTTAACTGGATTTCCATGCATATAATCTGATTCCTAACTTGTGCAACAAACACCAAGTAAGTGCGGAAAGAATGAAGCAGATCTTCATAATGTGTTATTTCAGCATTGAATATAATGCCGTAGACTTGGTTTTCCTGTAACAATATAAGACACAATTAGGATATCCAAATATGTATGACATGAATAATTTTTTTCTAAAATTCATAGTTTTCTTGCAATTTTGTAAGCAAATATACGAGCAAACAGTAGATTAGTTCATTTATTGCTGGGAATTTATGAGTTCAACAAAAACTATATTTTCATCATGCATAATCATAAGTTGTTACCTTCTTTGTTATCCCTAAATCTGCCATTATCAACTACTTGAACTCTGCAGGTCCACTCTTCTATTTTCAAAATAATCGCATTGATATTAAACCTTTCTTTCATGTTCAGATAATCTGCAATTACAACATGTTGCAGTATAACAGTATGTTTGAACTCCCATATAGCACACAACAGCCATGAAATTGCATAATCAAAAGTATGTGAAGAACACAGAAAAATCACAAAATTCTAAAAATCAGCAAGGTTAGAGCTTAAAATGCACTTTTAAGCCCGATTTAACACACAAGCCATTGAATTGCAAAACTAAAATTGTGAAGATAGAAAGGTTGTTTCCAGTAGACCCTCGACTACTTTACCATTACAAAGCATATATATAATTAACAGCTCAATTAGATAAGATATTTCTAAAGCAATGACTGCGGATCATTTCAGTTTCTATATATATTGTAATGTCTGGTCTGAATTGTCTCTTTGAGTGCTTTGGGCACCAAAACTATGTCCCACAAGCCACAGCTAAGCGGCAGACATAATTAGAATGCAAAGAATCCAAAAGACGGCAAAAAATTGAAAGAGGGGTAAAAGATCAAGAAAAATCAGAGAGAAACATGAGAAGAGAACCTGCAAAAATCATTGAGCTTCACAATTATCCAAAAGAATATAAAGGAAAAGAGAACCTGCACAAACCATTGAGATTCACAATTACCAAAAGAATACAAAAGGGAAAAAAAAAAAAGAGAAAAGAGAAGGAGATCTAAGAAGAATGCAGACAACCTAAAACAAACCTAGGAAAAAACGAAGGAAAAAGAAGTAAAGATATGGGCAACATTGATTGAAAGTGAAACTTATCTGCAACTTGAGAGCACGAAGAGGAACAGAGACCTAAGTTATTATCTTGTTAAAATACACCTGGTGTTGTCTAATTGTTACACGCGGAGCTCTGTATAAATAAATGAAAGCCACGTATATAATATCAGTGAGTGATGTTCTGAAATGACTAAATTAACCTTGACCTTTATAAAAAAAGACACAAAACACGCATGTCGAAACTCAAGCGCTTCTAATATATAGAAAATATTAGAACTCAAAATAAAAAATTTCTTTTAGATTTTCTTTAGTATATTAAAACTAAAAATTCTTCAAAAAAAGAGAATTTTCTTTTAGTACCTCTTTAAAAGTTTTCTTTAAGATATTAATTCCAAAAATCCAAAAAGATTTTCTTTTGAGGTTCTGCTTTGGTAAATTAATGAAAAAATGAATAGAAAAAAAAGTCTTTTTATTTTTAGTAGAACTTTAGGACATTGTGCATAGAAGAAAAAAAACGTACTTTATCTTTGGTTTATTTTCAGAGTTTCTCCCTTAGGTAATCAAATTGAATCCAAAAATATTTTTTATCTTTTTTGAATTTCTTGGTTCAAAATTTTTTTTTCAGGATATCAAACGAAAATTCAAAATATTTTTCTTTGGTTCAATACTTGGATTTCCTTCCTAAAAAAATGAATCAAAAATAATTTTCTCTTCAAGGGGGTTTTTCCTTAATAATTTCTTATAGAGTATCTGTTTCAAAAAAAAAAAAAAGAAATATATGCTCGTTTAAGATTGGGTTTAGAATAGATTATAGAATATTAAGTCTAAAAAAAAAGAGCGAGATTTTCTTCTTTTTTCTCATCGGAGTAGTCATTAAACAAATAGTAGTTTGTTTACTTTATTTCCGATCTTTCCGAACTATGCAAAGATCTGATTCATGCGGCGTCATGATACTTAGGCAACCTACATAGGGTTCGATCGAATCATTTTTTTTTATTAAAAGGAAAAAAAAAAACAAAAAAAGGAAAACAAGAGGGTGATGTCGTGGGACGTGAGAAATGAGAGGAAAGAAAAGAGCGATAATCAGAAAGAAAAAAGGAAGGAAAATGAGCAAGCCAAGAAGTGCTAGAAAAGAAAAGAAAAGAAAAGATTGAAATGAACAAATTGGGATGATGCCAAGTGACCTTGTGACCCTCGAAGTCATTTTTGAACCGTTAATTATTGCTAGGTGCATTGCACGCAATGTGTTACTTTTAGCCGTTAAATACCATAACGCTAACGTGATGACACCATTTTGTTCCTTTTTGTTATCTTCATTGAGCAGAAGGGTGGTTTGTTTGTGTTTCTTAAGGTAACTCATCCATACAACACAAGGTCAAAGAGCAAGGTAGTCATGGCTGGCAAAGAGTTGGACACAACGGTCATCGATCCGTCTAAGGGAACTGTTGAATCAGAATCTGAGTTGAAAGGGGAGGTCCAAATATTGAAACAGCAGATGACAGAAATGTATCAGTCTTGGATCAGGGGGCATCCTCCACCTTCATTCCTCACTAACTACACTGAAAACCTCGCAACTATCCCACCACTATCACAAATCCATATTTCCACTACTGCTGATATCACCCCACAACCTTTTCACACTCTACCCACCAAATCACCTCATATCTCGCTCCTTTGGCCACTCATGCATTTGTAGCTCCTCCACCAGCTATTTGTCCTCGATCCTCTAACGAGACTGTGTTCAAAGTCCTGATGCCCAACACTATGCTCCAGAACCAACATTCAAAGTCTCGGATTCATACTCGAACGCTCCTCATTTCGAGTCTCCCGGTGAAACTGAAAAGTCTGCTAAGGCAGTGGAGCAAGATGAGATATCTAGGAATGTGAAAATCTTAGAGCAGTCTTTAGAAACATGCAAGGGATATGGAGCCATATGAGCGTGGCTTACAAACACTTGTGCTTGTTTCCTGACATCCAACTGCCTACTGGGTTTAAGTTGATTTGTATAATGGACATGGAGATCCCGTGGCCTATCTGAGAGGCTAGTGTAGTAAGATGAGTGGCGCTGGTGGGGAGGACAAATTATTGATGGCATATTTCAGTCAGAGTCTAAGTAGGGCAGCTCCGGAGTGGTACACTCGCCAAGATGCTAGCAGGTGGTACACATGGGATGATATGGCTTAGGCCTTTGCCCGGCACTTCCAGTACAATATAAAAATTGTCCCGGATCACATGCCCCTCGCCAAGATGGAAAAGAAGCCTACTGAAATCTTTAGGGAATACGGGCTTAGATAGAGAAAGCAAGCTGCCAGAGTCAATCCCCCGATGGAAGAAAACGAGATGGTCGAGTACTTTCTTCAAGCTGAAGAGCCAACATACTTTGGGCATTTGATCTCGGCTGTGGGTAGGCCTTTTAATGATGTGGTAAAAATGGGAGAAATGGTAGAAGATGGACTGAAGTTGAGCAAGATCGTGAGTTATTCTGCTTTGAAAGCCACAACACAAGCAATTCAGAATGACACAGGAAGCTTGCTGGGTCAGAAGGAACACAATGATGTTGCCATGGTTGTTTCAGGGTCACGACATGGTCCAAAGGGTCCGCCTCACCAATATACCCAGCCTCAACCCCAACCCCAAACCTATCCCCGAGCTCTACCTAATCCACCTCAGTATTATCCTCCGAACAATGTCCGGTCATCTGTCCAACCACTGAGTCACTCCTTATGGCGAGCGTCAGCATCGCAAAACGCACTCTTTTCTTCACAACATTTTCGAGCACTCAACAACCCTAGAAAATAGGGGCAGGGAGGGGAACAAAGGCAAAGAAATAGTTTTACGCCAATCGGTGTGATGACCCGGCCGGTCGACTTAAGAATTAACGCCTCGACCCCCTTTTAACTACTTCCCCCAAGTTTATTTCTGCTAATGTGATTTTTCGGGATGTTCGGTTTTGAGTTCGAAGAGTTTTGGGACACTTAGTCCCTAAATCAGAGCTTAAGTGTTTGAAAGTTGACTGTAGTCGGAACTGTGTGAAGACGGCCTCGGAATGGAAATCCGATGGTTTCGTTAGCTGCATGGGTGATTTCGGGCTTAGGGGTGTGTTCGGATGGTGATTTGGAGGTCCGTAGCTAATTTAGGCTTGAAATGCCAAAAGTTTAATTTTGAAGTTTCCGGTCCGATAGTAAGATTTTGATCGTCGGAATGGAATTCCGAGAGTTTTAGTAGTTCTGTTGTGTCATTTGGGATGTGTGTGCAAAATTTCAGGTCATTTGGACGTGGTTTGGTTGGGTTTTCGATCAAAAGCAGAATTCGGAAGAATTTTGAAACTTAGGCTTCAATCCGATGTGTTTTGGTTAATTTGATGTCGTTTGAAGTGTTTTGAAGATTGGTACAAGTTTGAATAAGGTTTTAGGATATGTTGATGCCTTTGGTTGAGGTCCCGGAGGCCTCAGGATGAATTCAGATGGTTGACGGAAGGATGTTGAGTTTGGAAGTTTGCTGCAGCAGCTGGTCTTCTGTCATAACCGCACCTGCGGTTTAGGTTCCGCAGGTGCAGATCCGCAGAAGCAGCGTAGAGACCACATAAGCGAACTTTGGAATTTTTTCAGGAACCGCAGATGTGGTGAAGGGTTTGCAGAAGCAGAACCGCTCCTGCGGTTAATGTTCCGCAGATACGAAAACTGGGTCTTTAAGTGAAAGTCGCAGATGCGATGAAGTCTCCGCAGAAGCAGGACCGCAGATGTGGTCCCAGGGTCATAAATGCGGAAATCACTGGGCAGAACATATAAATTCTTGCCATCGCGAATTTTAGCCCTTTTTCATATTTTTCAAAACGGGAAGAAGCTTGAAGAGCACTTTTCAAGAGGGATTTTCACAGAAGTTCATTGGGGTAAGATCCTTGGTCCCTAAACTCGTTATTGGAGTGATTTTTATCAACTTAAGCATGAAAAATAAAGGAAAATCAGTGGTAATTGGGGGTTTATGGCTTGTGTTATCGGAGACATTTAAGTGTTGATTTGAGGGACAAATTGAGGTCCGATTTTGGTACTTTTGATATGACTGAACTTGTGAGAGTGCGAGGTTTCTGGAAATATAAATTTTATCCGATTCCGAGACGTGGGCCCGAGGGGCATTTTGGTCATTTTACATAATTTCGCGTATTAGCTTAGAATTTAATTGTAGAATCAGTTACTTGAAGTGTTATTTACATTATGCAATTGAATTGAATAGATTTGGGCCATTTGGAGTCGAGTACTTGTGGAAAAGACGTGGTGTTGGGTTGATTATGAGCCGTTTCGAGGTAAGTGGCCTGTCTAACATTGTGTGGGGGACCTTCCCCTTAGGATATGATATTTGACAATTGAAATGCCTTGTACGTGAGCTGACGAGTGCGTACTTGAGATAATTGTTGAAAATCCGATTTTACTTTAAGTATTTAAGCTGACTTCCTTTCTTTCCGGTTTTATTCTACTTGCAAACTTAGCCTGTTGTTAGATTAGAAAAGCATGCTTAGTTGACTTAATTGCCTATTTGCTTAAATTGCCTTAATTGATTTACGTGATTCATGTTAGGCTAGAATTTACTGTTCTTAGTACGAAATTAGCATTTAATTCAATATTCTTGTGTTACTGCTGTGTGTTTTAATTTGGGACTACGAAACGGCATCCCGGGAGATCCCCTGTACGTATTTAGGATCTGGACTGAGGTGCGGGATAAAAAGAGATCCCTGGCACATATATTAAGGATACCGAGAGATCCTCAAGATACCCAGAGATCCCTGGCATATATTGAGGATACCAAGAGATCCTCGGGATACCAAGAGATCCCTAGTATATATTGAGGATACCAAGAGATCCCTGGTTATCATCCTTGTTGTGAGTGGTATTTCTTTCTGGTTTGCCTTTATCTCTGCTTCGTTATTGTACTCTTATTATCCTGTATAGATTCTTACTATAGATTCTCAATTGTACTGCTTATCTTATCCTGTCATCTTATTATTTACTTAATCTCAGTAGGGCCCTGACCTTACTCGTCACTACCCGACCGAGGTTAGGCTTGGCACTTACAGAGTATCATTGTGGTGTACTCATG